TTGTGGCCCCCCCCGGGAGGTGTTTGGGGTCCCCCTGGGAAGGGTTTTGGGATCCCCCCCGGAAGGGTTTTAGGGATCCCCCTGGGAAGGGTTTGGGGTCCCCTTGGGAAGGGTTTGGGATCCCCCCCGGGAAGGGTTTTAGGGATCCCCCTGGGAAGGGTTTGGGGTCCCCTTGGGAAGGTTTTTGGGTCCCCCCTGGGAAGGGTTTGGGGTCCCTTGGGAAGGTTTTGGGGTCCCCCGGGCCCGGCTGCTCCGACCAACACTGAACATCCCGCCTTTGCCTCCCAGGCCGCCAAGCCCAAGCCCCCCGAGGAGGGCGAAGCTCCCCCGCCCAAGAGAGCCCCCATCTTCTACGGCAGCCTGGAGGAGAAGGAGCGGGAGCGCCTGGCCAAGGGGGAGCCGGGGCTGCTGGGGAAGGAGGGGATGAAGGCTGCGCTGGAGGCCGGGAACATCAACATCAGCAGCGGTGAGCACCACGGGGCTGGCAGGGACCCTGCAGGGTCAGCTCTTCCAGCCCCCCTGCACAGGGACCTCGGTCTCAGGTTCACCTCAGGAAGGCTGATCCTGAGTGTCTGCAGGGATGGGGCCTCCAACACCTCTTTGGGCCACCTGTTCCAGTGCTTCACCACCCTTGTAAAGAACTTCTGCCTAATGTCTAATGTAAATCTGCCCTCTCCCAGTTTAAAACCATTACCCCCCATCCCATCCCTCCCTGTCCTTGTCCCAAGTCCCTCCCCAGCTTTCCTGGAGCCCCTTCAGGCACTGGAAGCTGCTCTAAGGTCTCCCTGGAGCCTTCTCCTCTCCAGGCTGAACACCCCAGTTTTCTCAACCAGTCTTTGTAGCAGAGCTGCTCCAGCCTTCAGGTCATTTTTGTGGCCCTTCTCTGGACTTGTTCCAACAGGTCCATGTCCCTCTTTTGTTGGGGGCTGCAGAGCTGGACACGTTACTCCAGGTGGGGTCTCAGGGGAGCAGAGCAGAGGGGCAGAGTCACCTCCCTGGCCCTGCTGGTCACGCTGCTTTTGGTGCAGCCCGGGATGAGATTGGCCCTCCAGGCTGCACGTGTGCTCATGTCCAGCTGTTCCTCCATCAGTACCCCCAGTCTACAGAGCTGCTGTCTGTCATCCTGTCCCCCAGCCTGTACTGATGATGATTGCTCCTACCCAGGTGCAGGACCCTTGGCCTTGTCTTGCTCTGGATTGTGACACTTTCAAAAGTCTCTGAATTTTCATGGAATTGTCAGAGATTGAAGTGACCTCTAGAGATCATCCAGTCCAGCTCCCCTGCTAAAGCAGGATCCCCTAGAGCACATGACCCAGGGCTGCATCCAGGTGGGTCTTGAATGTCTCCAGAGAAGGAGACTCCCCACCCTCCCCGGGCAGCCTGTTCCAGGGCTCTGTCACCCTCACTGTAAAGAAGTTTTTAATCATTTCCATGTCACTTCCCATGTTCCAGCTTGTGCCCATTGCCCTTCATCCTGTCCCTGGGCACTGTTGAGCAGAGTCTGGCTCCATCCTCCTGCACCCACCCTGAGATACTTGTAGGCATTGATAAGGTCTGTCCTCAGCCTTCTCCTCTCCAGGCTGAGCAGTCCCAGCTCTCTCAGCCTTTACTCATCAGGGAGATGCTCCAACCCCCCAGTCATCTTTGCTGCCCTCCCCTGGACTCTCCAGCAGTTCCCCATCTCTCTTGAACTGGGAAGCCCAGAACTTGTCCCAGTTCTCCAGCTGTGGCCTCACCAGGGCAGAGCTGAGGGGTGGGATGGCCTCTCTCGACCTCCTGGCACCTCTCGACCTCTTCCTTATGCACCTCAGAATTCCATTGGCCTTTTTGGCCACAAGGGCACATTCCTGGCTCATGGATCATTTACTATCTACCAGGACTCCCAGATCCTTCTCCTCAGAACTGCTTTCCAGCAGTTCCACCCCTAACCTGTATTGGTGCAGAGGTTCTTCCTCCCCAGGTGCAGGACCCTACACTTGCCCTTGTTGAACCTCATCAGATTCCTCTCTGCCCAGCTCTCCAGCCTGTCCAGGTCACCCTGGATGGCAGCACATCCCTCTGGACTGTCACCACCCCTCCCGGTTTGGTGTTGTCAGTGAGCTTGCTGAGGTCACACTCTGTCCCCTCATCCAGGTCATTGATGAAGATATTGAACAAAACTGGACCAAGTATTGACCCCTGGGGGACACCACTGGCTACTGGCCTTAACCTCCACCCTGCTCCATTGGTTACAACCCTCTGAGCTCTCAATCCACCTCACTGTCCAACCATCCAGCCCACACTCCCTCAGTTTCCTAATGAGGTTGTTCCAGGAGACAGTGTTAAAAGCCCTGCTGAAGTCAAGGTAGATGACATCAGGTGCTCTCTCCTCATCCAGTTATGTCATCAGAGAAGGCTACCAGATGGGTCAAGCATGATGTACCATTGGTAAATCCATGTTGACCACTCCCAATAACTTCCTGTTTGTCAGTGTCTTTAGAGATGACATCCAGAACGAGTTGCTCCATCATCTTCCCAGGGACAGAGGTGAGACTAACCAGCCTGTAGTTCCCTGGGTCCTCCTTCTTGCCCTTTTTTGAAGACCGTAGTGATACTGGCCTTTCTCCAGTCCTCAGGCACCTCTCCTGTTCACCATGACCCTTCAAAGATGATGGAGAGTGGCCAGAAATAACATCTGCCAGCTCTCTCAGCACTTACTGGTGCATCCCATCAGGACTTGTGGATGTCCAGTTTGGCCAAGTGGTCTGTAACCTGGTCCTCCTCTACTGAGGAAAAGTCCTCTCCAGACATTTCCCCTTGCCTCCAGGATCTGCAGCCCATGCTTTAGCAGTGAAGACTGAAGCAAAGAAGGCATCAGTAATTGCCTTCTCTGTGTCTTCCACCACGGGGGTGCCCACCTCGTTCACCAGTGGACCAACATTGCCCCTGCTCTTCCTTTTTCTGTTGATAGACTGAAAAAACCTCTTCTTGTTCTCTTTAACTGCAGTGGTCAGGTTGACTTCTGCTTGAGCCTTGGCCCTTCTCGTTTCCCCCTGCAGAGCTTCCCTACAGCTTGGTATTCCTCATAAGTTGCCAACCCCCTTTTCCAAAGGCCGCCAACTTTCCTTTTGTTCCTGAGGTCCAACCAGAGCTCTCTGTTCAGCCAGGCTGGTCCTTAGGGTCCTGGGGATGGGCTTCTCTGCCCTGAGAGTTCCTGCTTGGAGTACAATCAGCCTTCCTGGGCTCCTTTGCCCTTCAGGACTGTCTGACAAGGGATACTCACAGTCTCATAATCTCTTCTGGTTGGAAAAGCCCTTCAAGATCATTGAGTCCAACCACTAGTCTTAACTGCCACATCCACCACTAAACCCTGTCCCCTGGCACCACATCTGCCTGTTTAGGTGTCTCCAGGGACGGTGGCTCAGCCACCTCCTCGGACAGCCTGGTCACCCAGTCCAGCTCCTGCCCCAGAACAGGACAACCCCAAAGTTCACAGCACCCTGAACCACTCTCAGCCATGCTCTGAAGCAGGCCAGAGCCTTCCCTGTGGAGCCCAAGGTGCCATTTCTGCTGCCTCCCCTTGGAGCATCGCTTAAAAACGCGCGACCGTCGCCTCTTTGGGTCTTCTCTTTGAGAGGGCTCTCTCATCCAGCTGCTGCTGCTCCACTCGGCTGCTTCTAATCCGTGGCTGTGTTTTTTTTTGTCCAGGTGAGGTCTTTGACCTGGAGGACCACATGAGCGAGCGGCAGGCCGAGGTGCTGGCGGAGTTTGAGCGCAGGAAGCGAGCGCGGCAGATCAACGTGTCCACGGACGACTCGGAGGTCAAGGCCTGTCTGCGCGCGCTCGGGGAGCCCATCACGCTCTTCGGAGAGGGGCCTGCAGAGAGGAGGGAGAGGTGCTGTGTCTGCCAGCAGGGAGCTGGGGTTGGCCTTGGGGGTGGTGGTGCAGGGAGGCAGGCAGAGAGGTCTTGAGGTTTGTTTTTTTTTGTCTTTTCCAAGTCAAATTCAGGTCTTTCTAAGCTTGGCTCTGTTGGGTTTTGTTGAATCATTGAATAGAATGGTAGAATGGTTGGGGTTGGAAGGGACCTTCAAGATCATCCAGTTCCAACCCCCTGCATGGGCAGGGACACCTCCCACCAGCCCAGGTTGCTCCAAGCCCCATCCAACCTGCCCTTCAACACTGCCAGGGATGGGGCAGCCACAGCTTCCCTGGGCAACCAGGGTGAGTGTCCCACCACCCTCAAAGGAAAGAACTTCTTCCTGATGTCCAACCTGAATCTTCCTCTCTTTTTTCAGACCATTGCCCCTTGTCCTCTCACTACACACCCATGTCAAAAGCCCCACCCCAGCTTTCTTGTAGGCCCCCTTCAGATAATGGAAAGTTGCTGTAAGGTCACCAGGGAGCCTCCTCTTCTCTAGGCTGAACAATTTCAGTAGTTAAAACAGCAGAATTGAGACCAATGTAAAAAAGGAAGCATGAACTTAAGTTCTTTTAAGTGGTTTCTGTGTAACATTTGGGGGGCAGCAGAGGAGGTGCTGATCTCTGTCTGGTCATAGGGCATGAGAAAATGGAATGAAGCTGAATCGGGGGAAGTTCAGAATGGACATTGGGGAAAGATTCTTCACTGAGAGGGTGGTTGGTCCCTGGAACAGGCTCCCTGGGGAAATGGTCATGGATCCAAGCCTGTCAGAGTTCAAAGAGCATCTGAATGATGCTCTTACTCATGTGGTTTAGTTTTAGGGGACCCTGCAAAGAGCAGGGATTTGGACTCGAGGATCCCTTCCAACTTGAGAGATTCTGTGTTTCTAAAAACGCTGAGGAGGAAAGAAAGGCAGAGAGTGATGATTTGTCAGGTTAGCTGAGAATTCAGAGTGAATTAATTGACATGACTTCATGTGTTTCTTTCCAGGCTGAGAAATATCCTTTCAGTGGTTGGCACAGATGCATTGAAAAAGACAAGGAAAGATGATGACAGGTCCAGAAAATCCAAGGACGAGGTAACAGTCCTTCCTGTTCCCTCAGTATGAGGGAGATGGGTACAACACCCTTTGAGATGCCTTACTTTGATGGTCTCTTCTATGTCCAGGGCTCTTGGTTTTGGTCAG